AAACCCATTTGAGCTCCTCTTTTTTTTTTTTTTTTTTTAAACAAATGATGGCCGGTCCTAAAACACAATTGAAATAAATATTTATTCAAAATTTTCAAAATGAGTACGCTAATAGGCAATGGAATATAAATTTTTTTTTGGATAATTAATAGGGAATGGAATTTGTCAATTGAACGTATGCCGTTGACGGAGTTGGTATAGGCCGCTTTTACTTGTTCCTAAAATTAATTCTTATAATTCAGCGAAAAAAAAAAAAACTCTTCTTCTAGAGAGACGCCTTCCAATGTCAACAAAGATGAAGCGATCTCAATATTAAAATATATATATATATATATATGTCACCAAACGCTTAATATTTGTAAATGCAAGATATATGTAAGTAGGTAGGTGAACAAAATTGAATCCTTTTTTACCCAAAAAAAAAAAAAAAGAAAAAAGTAGGTTGCGAAAGTTACCAAAAAATCATTTCAACAACCAAAAACAAAAAAGAAAATCAAATCAAAACTAAAGAATTAATGCAGCACTCGCAGCCAAAATAAAAATAAATAAACAGAAAAAGAATTAAAGAATTGATAAGCGTTTAGTTCGCTGATTTAAATTTTTAATTTAAATTTAAATGTGATTTTATGTGATAATTTTTTATTGTAATAGAAAAATTAAATGTGACTGTTTCTAAGAACTTTTTACTGTAACAAAACTCAAATTAGTGAAATGAACGGGACCGTAATTCACTTGCTGATTCAAATTTTTAATTTGAGTTGAGATATGATTTTATGCGATAATTTTTTACTATAATAAAAAGTTAGATGTTACAGTTTTTGAGAGCCTTTTACCGTAATAAAACTCAAATTTTAAACTTGAATCGGTAAAATAAATAGTACTAAGACCTCGTTCACTTTGCGGATTCGAGTTTTTAATTTGAGTTGAGATGTGACATTTTTTGAGAGCTTTTCACTGTAGCAGAAGAAGTTAGATGTGACATTTTCTGAGAACTTTTTACTGTAAAAATTTAAAATTGAAAACTCGAATTGGTAATATGAACGAGGCCTAAGTGGAGAGCTTTTCACTGTAGCAGAAGAAGTTAGATGTGACATTTTCTGAGAATTTTTTACTGTAAAAATTTAAAATTGAAAACTCGAATCGGTGATATGAACGAGGCCTAAGTATCACTTAAATTTCTAATTTAAAATTATAAATGCAAGCAAAACGTGTCGTTCCAGGCTAGTCTAGCCTCTAGGCTTTAGGTGTCTTGCTGTATATTTTTAAATTTTGGTAATTTGGTAGGTTGTCAAAACTTCCCAAAAAAAAACAAAAATTTCAGCAAAAAAATCAAAAAGTATAAGCAGTTAAATAATTGATTAAGCACTTGCAGCAAAATAAAAACAAAAACAAAATCTAGATGGGGTTTTCTTAACGAAAACTAAATGCAACAAATTATCGCCAACGATTAAGATAGATGGTTACATAACACAACTAGTTAGTTGACCGTATTTAATTAAATTATCACATATAATTAATGAATCGAATTAATAGTAAAATGAATAAATAAATGAAGATGCATGAAAAGAGAATGAACCTGGATGCCATTAGGCGAATTGGCCGCCGTGAGGACGCGGAGCTCGGACTCGGTCTCCGTCACGGGCTTGGGCTCGAATATCCGTACGGCGGCGATTCTCGGCGCGGTTTTCAGAAGCGAGAACTTGAACGCGTTTTTGTCCAACGGACTGTGCAGAAAAAGGTCAGAATTCGGATACTCTTCCAGAATCTTCTCCACTATCGACGGTCCAGTGAGCTCGAACCTCCTGGCGCCGCCAACCAAGCAAACCGCCACCCTCGATCTGAGCAACTCCTCCTTCCTCTCCCTCCACCCCCGCGATTCGGTACGATTCGGCGGCGGAAGAACGGGAAATCCGGCCGAATTTTGGGGAGTTAGGGTTTGTTGGCCGAGGATGATGGATCGGATGGCTGCGAAAGAGGAGAGAGGGTTGGTGGGGGAGGAAGAGAGAGAAAGGAAGATGAGGAGAGAGAGTGGTGGAATCAGTAGGAAAAGCATTCGCCAATCGATATAGGAAGAAATCCACTTGCTGAAATACATGGCCATCTTTAGTAACGGTCTCGCTCTTTAGCATGATATTTGTATCTTCCTTTTCCCCAGTCTCGGTCGGTCTCGGATCTTGGATTCGCAGGTTTCCCCCACAAGGGGAGTCATTCAACGATAGAGAATGAGAGCGATTTTGGGTGGCTTTGAGATTACTCCTCGGACTTTTCAATTTGAATTTTTTTAATTATTGAATTGGATTTCCTTTATTTTTCAAAGAAAAAAAGTTATTTTCTTTATATTTTTTTTCTTTTTTTGGCCGGCTGTTTTTTTTGGGTTGCTAGGAAGATAGCACACGATATTTTGGCGTAAATATAGTCGTGAGAACTTAATGATGTCTACGGTACTAATGTACCGTTTGTCACATTTACACTAAGGACATGTTTGGTTTAAAGGTTTGATTTATAAAACAACATTGTAACAAAATGATTTAAATAGTAATTTAAACTTATAAATAAATACATGATAAAATAGTTTAATTTTTAAGAATAACTTTAACCATACTAGTTATTTTATATTTTTAGTCAAAATAGTTAATGATTTAATTAAAATTTAACTTTTCTCTGCTCTAAGCATTAGCTAAAAGATTAACTATTTTAAAGAATTCATCTTACACAAGCTAAATATAGCTAACAAGAATTGACTTGCTATTTAATTTTTTATATTATTTTATTATTTCATACCCAATAAATGTAAAAGTTCTTTTTTTAACTTAAATAAAGTTATTTATATTTAAATTCAATAGACATTTAATTAATCTATGTTGAGTTAAAATAGAGAGCATGGTTGAAATAACTTAACAAAAAGTTGCTAGTTAAAATAGTTTTCTTGTCATTTTAGCTATAATTTAGCTAAAAAATAGAGAGCTCTCTTGGAGATGCTCTAAAATACTTTAAACAAGATTCAAATCACATGTTCAATTTTAATATTTCAATTAGTGTCCAACCAATCTAATTATGCCACGTTATTTAAAAAATTTGAAGCACCTTTCAACTAACTTTTACATGTTTTAGGGGCGTTTGGTATGCAGTAATCTTATGGATGGGAATGAGAATCTGCAATATTACCATGTTTGATACAAGAATTATAATTTTCAGATTCCCAAGAAAGTGATTACCATGGGATTCACTTTCCTTCATTTTAAGATAATTTAAATACCACCCAACATGGTGTTATTCAAATTCCCAGGAATCTCAAAATCATGGGAACCTTATTATGGATATTCTTCCATGTGAACAACAAAATACAGTAATGTAATATTCCTGAGAATTTGAAAAAAATTCATGTATGGAACCAAACACTGTAATGTCAAATTCCTAGGAATCATATTACCATCCATCACTTTCCTGAGAATATGATTCCTACTGATTCCTGCATACCAAACGCCCCCTTAATATTTAGATTACTAAATAACATATCACAATGTGATTAATTAGACACTAATTGAGACATGAATTAAATAGGTGATTTGAATCCGTTTAAGCAATTATTTTTATACTTTTTCCTTAAAAAAAAAATATTTCTGTTTTTTAAAGAAAATAGTTCTGTTTTTCCTTTTAATTACAAAATTATATCTGTATTTTAGGGGGGGAAAAGAGTAAACTTGGTGTAAATTAGTGCAGCAAAAAAAATAATAATAAGGGAATAATTACTTGAATCTGGCGTAAAGTTGCACCCCATCACATGACTGTCGCAGCACACCTACGTTTTGATGCTGTTTTCTCTACAAAGGGAAGCCAAGGCCCAAGCTCCCTCATTAAATTTAAAAAAAAAAAAAAAAAAAAAAAAAAAAAAAAAAAGAAGAGGAAGAGAGAAAATTTTTTTTTAAAAAAAAAAAAATTTTTTTTTTTTTTTTAAAGAGAGAGAGAGAGAAATTTTTCCTTAAAAAAACAAAATATTTCTGTTTTTTTTAAAGAAAATAGTTCTGTTTTTTTCCTTTTAATTACAAAATTATATATGTATTTTAGGAAGGAAAAAAAAAAAAGAGTAAACTTGGCGTAAATTAGTGCAGAAAAAAGAAAATATTAAGGGCAAAATTACTTGAATCTGGCGTAAAGTTGCACCCCATCACGTGACTGTCGCTGCACACCTACGTTTTGAATCTTTTGATGCAGTTTTCTCTACAAAGGGAAGCCAGGCGTAAAATGATTAAAGTCGAAACTGTTGTTATTGATTGGTAATTAATCGTGCTTCAACTACATCTCACCCTTTAACGACCGAAATAATGAGATTGATAAATTCAACCAAAAAATAATGATTTCGGTAAACGATATCTTAATTCCCAAAGCGTTAAGGCGAACCATGTGACATGGAATAATATGCAGGAATACTAGGAGGACACTCCAATATTGACCATAGAAAACGTTAATTAACCTTCATTTTGTACCATCGTTTTTCCCGCTGCTAATGCATCCGCGAGGACCTCGATAATTTTGTTTTACCTTTTGCTCCATAGTACTAGTTCCAATGGCGGCACGGCACGAACGGCTAATTACACCTACGTTTGCGTTAAGCACTTCTTTTTTTAATTTGTTTTAAACACTTTTAGGTCCTGTTAATTATATCGATTCGAATTTAGAATTCGAGTTTTATTACAGTAAAAAACTTTCATAAACAGTCACATCTAACTTTTTTATTACAGTAAAAAATTCTCGAAATACCACCCAACATGGTGTTATTCAAATTCCCAGGAATCTCAAAATCACGGGAACCTTATTACGGATATTCTTCCATGCGAACAACAAAATACAGTAATGTAATATTCATGAGAATTTGAAAAAATTCATGTATGGAACCAAACACTGTAATGTCAAATTCCTAAGAATCATATTACCATCCATTACTTTCCTGAGAATATGATTCCTACTGATTCCTGCATACCAAACGCCCCCTTAATTTTTAGATTACTAAATAACATATCACAATGTGATTAATTAGACACTAATTGAGACATGAATTAAATAGGTGATTTGAATCCGTTTAAGCAATTATTTTTATACTTTTTCCTTAAAAAAAAAATATTTCTGTTTTTTAAAGAAAATAGTTCTGTTTTTCCTTTTAATTACAAAATTATATCTGTATTTTAGGGGGGGAAAAGAGTAAACTTGGTGTAAATTAGTGCAGCAAAAAAAATAATAATAAGGGAATAATTACTTGAATCTGGCGTAAAGTTGCACCCCATGACTGTCGCAGCACACCTACGTTTTGATGCAGTTTTCTCTACAAAGGGAAGCCAAGGCCCAAGCTCCCTCATTAAATTTAAAAAAAAAAAAAAAAAAAAAAAAAAAACAGAAGAAGAAGAAGAGAGAGAGAGAGAAATTTTTCCTTAAAAAAACAAAATATTTCTGTTTTTTTTAAAGAAAATAGTTCTGTTTTTTTCCTTTTAATTACAAAATTATATATGTATTTTAGGAAGGAAAAAAAAAAAAGAGTAAACTTGGCGTAAATTAGTGCAGAAAAAAGAAAATATTAAGGGCAAAATTACTTGAATCTGGCGTAAAGTTGCACCCCATCACATGACTGTCGCTGCACACCTACGTTTTGAATCTTTTGATGCAGTTTTCTCTACAAAGGGAAGCCAGGCGTAAAATGATTAAAGTCGAAACTGTTGTTATTGATTGGTAATTAATCGTGCTTCAACTACATCTCACCCTTTAACGACCGAAATAATGAGATTGATAAATTCAACCAAAAAATAATGATTTCGGTAAACGATATCTTAATTCCCAAAGCGTTAAGGCGAACCATGTGACATGGAATAATATGCAGGAATACTAGGAGGACACTCCAATATTGACCATAGAAAACGTTAATTAACCTTCATTTTGTACCATCGTTTTTCCCGCTGCTAATGCATCCGCGAGGACCTCGATAATTTTGTTTTACCTTTTGCTCCATAGTACTAGTTCCAATGGCGGCACGGCACGAACGGCTAATTACACCTACGTTTGCTTTAAGCACTTCTTTTTTTAATTTGTTTTAAACACTTTTAGGTCGTGTTTATTTTATCGATTCGAATTTAGAATTCGAGTTTTATTATAATAAAAAACTTTCATAAACAGTCACATTTAATTTTTTTATTACAGTAAAAAATTCTCACATAAAATCACATCTCAACTCGAATTAGCGAACTAAACGGGCCTATAATCATCACAAAATGGAGATGCGTAATCTCACTTCTCATGTATGATAACAAAAAAAAAATAGATTTTTGGGCTAACAATAATTTTATACTTTAACACTCCACCTCACGTGTGGGATGGACAATGGACAATCGTGTAGGTAAATTAATTAGAAAGCCCAACACGTGAATATTTAAACCTGAGATATATTAAAGACCCAACACATTATGACAATTTTAAATAGGGATAAAGAGTGCAATTACGGGGGTTTGAATTCATGACCTCCCTCTCTGATACCATGTTAGTTTACCAATTCATCCCAAAAACTTAAACTGTTAAGAGGTGGCCCAACAATAATTTTATACTTTAACACATGTATGATAACAAAAAAAAAATAGATTTTACCCTAAGTTATGGAAAAAAAAAACCTCTCATACTAAGGTCGTGTTTAATCATTGGTTGCGTATCAGATTTTGTTTATTTTGTCTTATTTTTTATTAATCTAACAGTAAAAACACATATGACTATAGAATATGTCATAAAAAAAACTTCAATAAAAAATTGTTATATTTCATTAAAAAAATATATTTTAGTATGTGCTACCCTTCATTGGATCACGTTAAGGTCTTACATTTTTCAATATAAGATTGCTCATTAACTGATTTTTATAGAAGCGACGGTTCAGTAATGATTTTTATAGGGATTCTATATTAATAAGAGTGGCGGTTTAATAATTAATCTTGTTGTAGTGTTGTTGTGGAAGGATGAATGGAATATTTGTTTAGAAACTTTTTCTTGGTATACATTGTAACGTTAGCAAATTAACACTGAAAATAAAAGTAAATAGCTGAGAATCCATGAGATATTCACTCCTAAAAGTCTAATATATATATATCTAATATTTGACTTTGAAGTTTGATCCAACTAAAGTTAGCAAATTAACACTGAAAATAAAAGTAAATAGCAGAGAATTCCATGAGATATTCACCGCTAAAAGTCTAATATATATATATCTAATATTTGACTTTGGTCCAACTAATCCACCTAGTTAAGCTTAGTAGCTACAGGCTCATTTATAGGTCTTCAAAACAGCAAT